ATTAGACTAAACAGCGGTAATCTGTTATTGTTCTTTTTAAATGAATAATTATACATCATACCATTTTTAAATATTAAAAATCTTCATATGTCTACAATGTAATAAGACGTGATGAGAACCAGTTATAAAAGAGTGTCTAATAACTACTCACAAAGTCTAGAAATATAAACTCATAAAAAACAATGCTATCTTAGATATAATGAACATAAATCACATAAGTAACCGTTGAATATTAGAAGAACCATTAAAAAGGATTGCTATGTTTTTATGGCTTGAATATAGTTTCTAAAACGTTATGCAAACAATTCGTATAATTTAAATTCAATTTTAAGAACGGTTTAATAGTGATATGCGTCAAAATGGAACAGAACAACCAATTAACAGTTTTTTGGTTTTTAAACACGAATCTCTACAATATTTGAATTGTTGAACAAATCGTTAGCAGGTTAGTGACTTAATAGTTAAATCTAATTTTTGGACACATTCTGTTAAATTATATTTTTGGATCATAGCTAGCACCGGAATGCATTATGCGTGTTTTCTTCTAGTTAAGCCTTTTCAGCTGAATATATCTACATCTTAGAGTTTATATGTTAGCACTAAATCGAGTATTTAACGCTTCGAACAACAACAATACGTTATTCATTAAGCGACTAGGTTCAAATGGACAATAATTTGTTCAACCGAAAAGATGTTGATTAGTAGTAAGAATCCGTGATTTCGAACTGGCGATATTCAGAATTGAATTTCCTTGCCATTAGGAAGCATGCATTCAGAGTTCTGGAACGGTAAAAGAGACTGATTATATATATATATATATCATGTACACTTTGATGCACATCTGTTTGTTTGATAAAGTGACATTTTTATTAGCAATTATAAAAGCATGAAATATATGAGACTTTAAGCACATGTAGTACACACGTGCACTCATACTATCCCTTGTGTAATTTGTTGGTATATAAAAATGAAATTACAAATTAATTAGCAACTATCTGTCCAATACATTCTGTATAGAATTTTCTTGATTCGATAACAATGTTACTTTATGTTTCATTCGACAGAGCATTTGATTATTGTCTAGAATGAAATTTTCTACCATGTTATATAAACTGAAAAGTCAATATTCAAACTTGTATATATTTTATGATATTTTGATTCATTTTAAGAAAAATATATATATATATATATAAACAGACAACTATACCATTGAGACAGTCAGACCTTGACCTCAAATTCAATTCACATTATTCGATGTAGATAGAAAAAAGAATCCGGTGAGACGTTAGAAAGAGAAATATATAATAATGTGTTCAAAGTAATTAAAATTATTATTTCTATTATTATTGTTTTTATCATTATTATTATTATTATTATTATTATTATTATTAGAACCAACGGATAATAGTGAATTTTTAATCTTCAGCCTTCAATTTCTCTAAACTTTAACCACATCATAACATTGTCAACACTCATTGTAAAGATGAATCATTCGGATTACATGTATTTTTGTAAATTTTTTAAATGACTGTCACTATATTTGTGATGGCGTAAATTAGTTTGGGAATTCCCCTCCTTCAGATGATTGTAATCTCAATCTTTTTTTCTCGTGTTTTTGATTTTTTACTTTTTTTTAACTTTTCTTCACTACTGTTATGTTTATTAATATTATTATTACATAGTACTTCATTTCATTTTGTAAATTTCCTGTAACTATTTACTTCATTACCAATAACCTATGTGATTAAAATTACAAAGTTGAACACAATTAATGTAACATTAATTGATCGACCATCAAGTGTAACTAGATATTTGATAACAGTTTCAATAGGTGTCTGTCTGTTAGATTCATTATCATGATCCTTGAACAACACTAATAGATATTTCCAAAATTCGACTCATAAACTTCAGAACTAATAATAATAATAAGAGCTTTCATCACAACTAGAAATTTGTTGATGTTTATTGAATAGTAAAATATATTATCTTATAGCATCTAACACTCTGGACTCCAAATTCAAACAGAAGAAATGGAGAGCTCAATGTAAAAAATAGTATTAGCCGTATACTTTTTGAATGTTGTCTTGTCTGAACAAGTATAAAATTAAATGATCATGTGAGCGACAGTTTTGTCATTTTCATCCTTCTAGTAATTTTGTACGGATTCTGAATAGTTAATTATGACTTTCTATAGATATTCATTCTCTAATTCCTCAACAGCACATACGTTTGTTTATTTATTAACTTACCTATCGACGTTAACGGAGTTATAGTTCATTCAGTGATTTCGGCTGTGAAACCAAATTCGTTTACTCTGTGCTTCATTCACATGCATAAACAATGACATTCCTAATAAATTTCTCATTAAACTTTTATGTTCGCATGGTCTAGTTTATCCGATTACATAAATAACTCGTCTACATATAATATAGGAAATTAAAATGGGATCAATAAATTATGGAGTCAAATACATGCACATTTGTATAATTCAAGTAATGAGAAAAACCAGCATTCGACTCTGTTTATTATACTAAATCCTACAACTATTATTCAGTGTTATTTACCTTAACTCTCAATCAAAATCAATTTGTATTACAAGCATATTACTAAGCTCACTGAAAAACAGTTTTGTTGATTTCATTAATGACTTTTTAATGATTATATCTGTATTATCGAAAGTTATCATGTGATCTGTATGGGTAGAAATCTGTAAGTAACAATCTTTCTTTAATAATATCAGATACTGAGGATACCCGCTGTATAAACTATCAATAAATGGAACTTTCATCAACAGAAATTATTTATCTGCAATAAAATTAGTAATATTCTATAACCCGCTGAGTTTGTAAACATTTTAATTTGATTTGAAAACACTTGTGTACAAAACATTTATCATTTACTGAAATTTAAGTTAATAGGAAATTCTTTCAAAACCTAAATTCTAATCAAACAATACGAATCAACGCACCTTATGTTTACATACTAATACCAGTTATTCAGAATATTCTATGTGATTTTATATTGTTGTTAGCTTAAACTTTTGTGCTAATACATATTTTTTTCCTATCCCATGTAGATAATTTTCCTATCCTATTTCTTTTTTTCGCCTACACAATGTTTGTGCAGAGTTAGCAACTAAGATAGTAAGTAGTACATACACATGAACATCTATTTCTCGCACCAAACTGGAAATTTACAAAATTCACATTTCTTGTAAATTAAACAAAAAAAGTAACTGAAGAAAAATAAAAGATAAATAATTGGATGAAATTGTGAAATTTTTAATTCTATCCCCTCCTCTATAAAAAAAAAACAGGTTTTCTATCTTATACTTGTGCACTACACCAGTCGGTTTATTATTCAGATCATTAAAATACAATACCATTTCCTCCCTTTTCATAATGTTTTTACACATCGTGCTGTTGCTTGTACTGATGCAATCAGTGCTATGGTGCGGTTTGTTCACATACAGATTTGTAGTGTCCCAGTGACCGGACTACTTGTTAGGTTATTATCAGGATTCAAAGCGCTTTTGGTGAAACCAGCACAAAATATTTCGCATACTAACCCTATTCATTTATTGTTCAATTGGTAGAGAGAAAAAAAAGTGATAAAAATGTATGAATGTGCAAGAATGTATCTATGGTTATAACCATATTGTGCACAATTTTACACAATAAAAGACTTCTCTTCTGATAAATACGATGGTGTGAAAACTGAATTTCCTATTGATATTCTTCTATGATATTGTTACTAACTTGGTTACATATAAAATCATAACAGTTTGTAAACAATATTTACTAACTGATTCAATACACACTTCCAGTAAAATTGTGAATAACTACACAAACAATATTAAACGTATTAAATGTAATAAAAGATTACAACAAACTTATTCTTATCTAACAAAGTCATTATTTTATCTATTTAACTTACATCTGTATTAGATTCAATTGCATAGAAATTAAAAAACTTAAAAAGTACAATTAAACAACTCACATATTACGCTAAATACTTCTGATTGCAAAACTGCGTTATTTAAAACAAGAAAAATTTAAAAACATACATATGTATATATACATATATTGAATTGAATTATGAACGTATCATCATTTCACCTATTATCTATCAGTTGATTTCTCCTTTGATAAAATAAAAAACCACATTAAAATTTCTCAAATGCTAAATGATTATAACCTGTGGAATATGATTTATTGTTTCACTTAAAGTAGTGTTTATTTGTTTTAACATGAATTACAAATGCATAGATTATATGTGAAATATTTATGTACGTATATACATCTATATAAAAGCACACAAAAAACAAGATTCTGTTAATAGTACTTTTACTGTTAAATTCTATGATCACACTGTTATCAATAACTTAGAGAAAATTTATTTTTCACTCACTTTCAACTATGCCGTACAAATTTTATCACAACAAAAGCCAAAAAAAAGAATATAAACAAATAAACACGTGACTTGATGATTACAAAAAATATGTCATTATTAGTTAAAAATTTTGGAATTTATCTATTAACATTTAAATAAAACATTTTCCTTTGTATAACTATTAATTCCGTATTAATATCAATAAACATTGACATAGAGAACTGAAGAAATTTGAATGAACTATAAACATATATACCTATACATATATACATATATATATATAAACATCTGAACTCCGATGAACAATTAAATTAACTGAGTGTATAGTGTAATAATATATGTATGTGAAAAGTTGTTTCTGTACACGTTATGGTTCATTTTATATAATTTCATTATATGTCATACAAACAAATTCTTAAATAGTCATTAAAAATCAAAGGAATCCTATAATAATAATAATAATTAATTCAGTTCTACTATTTACTCAAGAATATCAGTTATAATTATTGAGGATAGATTAACCGACAACAACAACATCAACACTGAACGACGGAAAGAAAGCAAGACTGCATTCAGTTTATTGAAAATCTTAAACCTGATACAACAGAATGATTGGTTTAGCATTACAATGTCAGAATAAACAATGTATGGTAAGATCATTTTGTTTAGTTTTCATTAAAATATCAATGTCAAATATAACTTGCATTACACTGTAAGTTGTCTATCATATCTTTTTTAGATGAGTGTAAGCTTTTAGTTATGATCATGTGTATTAAGTATTTTAAAAGTGATTTTGATATTATTATTTTTTGTGATGATTTCATATACTTCAATGAGGGAGAGGAAAATGCTTAAATTAAAAATCATGCAAATAATTAATAAATACCACTAGAATTTTGGCTACATCTAGATAACTGAATCCGAATCGGATGAAATGCATTTTTTTTAAATTTCATTTTTGGCAACTCATTAAAATTACTCAAATATTTTTGACTAGATGGTAACATCAAAGTAGTAGAAAATTTCTTTTATCTTATTTGAAATTATTCGAAAGTTATTTCGATTTTATTTTGAGTAATTTTTTTTCGAAACATCATTGATAAGAAATTCGTAAACAGGAATCAATTAGATAAAATTACCACTAAAAAATTCAAGAACAAAGTACTAAAAATGGATGATCACTTTTGATAACCCTCATCAGAAAGCTCTGAACATCTAAACCTGAAACAGTGGATAAACACTTAAAGTTGTATTCATTCATTGTCTAAATTGAAAAGGTGGATTTCATGTCGAAAGAGATTTAAATAAATACAAAATGCTAGGAGAATAAAACAACGTTATGGATAGTGTTGCGAACAGATTATACAAAATTGTTGTATCATTGGTCGATGTGTTGATGATTGTAATAATAATGGCAATAAAAAAGGGTTATTAATCAAAGATAAATATATAATTAAGGATAAGAAAAGAGTTGTGAAACAATTTACAAATCATCATGATGGGAAAAGTGATACTAAAAGAATTATGAATGAAACGACCTTGATCTGGACAAAGATATATAAAGGGGTTGAAAGTACCATTTTGTAGATAAAAGCTAGGTTTCTTTGAATCCGTACCAAATGACTCAGCTGTATATCGTAGGCATAATTTCGCACTCGTTAGTAGATTATTAGAAACTGAGAAAGACTCTTCAATTTTTATGTTATGTCCGTAATCAATTATGTGGGAAAAAATGGCACGTACGGATAAGGAACTTTGAGTTCAAATAATATGACTAGACCTACGGGAACGATTATATTCATAACCGCACATAAGGTGAAGCCATCACTGATACATTATCTTTAATTTACTGCATCTGTATTGGCTTTATTGAGGAAGTCAGGTGTAAATCAGCTGGATTAAAGGTCATTTTATTGTATCTGATCATTCGATATATTAGAATCTCAAGTCTTTAGTATTGAGTTTTCTTTTCAGCTACAAAAATATCATATTCATTTCATTAACAAAAAAAATACTTTTCACAAAAATTTATGAAGTGGGAATTACATAACACTCTCAAAAAGCTTCAATCATTGAGAAAGCTACTACTATCAATTTCAGATAACATATAATAAATAATAAGTGATTCTTGTGATAAACTAAAATGGACGTTGATTTATTGTTAAAAAGAAAAATAATAAATCCATGCAATATCTTCAAGGATTTTAACTTATGTGTTTAAATGACGATATTCCATCTTAGGTGTTTTTATTTTCTGAACTAAAATAAAATTACCATAAACATACTGAGAAAAGAGTTATTTTCCTAATTTGAATTTTTCAATTATCACTTTTTATAAATACGTGTCATTCATTGTATGTAATTTTTGTAAGGTAAATGTACTCCAAAAAACCGTTACTCTGTCTATCAATTTCATAAATATTGAAATAAACTCTCCTACTGCAAGGGTAATGAAATAGCTGAGAAGCCTTCCTTTAGATTAAAAACTGTGTCAAAAAGGATTCTCCCAGCACCCAAGTTAGTCCCACTATATCAAACATACCTTTCGTCTAGATATTCAGAAGGGAATAAAATCCTTTCTTCCAGTTACATCCAGTGGTATCTATCACCTTACCTATAACTATCAAAACTTGATGTTGAATGGATTGCCTGAAACATCTAAAAAAATGAAGGTGAAAGGAACAGTAATATAATAGCTTATCATTTATTTCATAGAAACCAAACACACTGATGTTTGAAAACTTTTGAGAATAGTCAATAAGTGAGTTATTCTTTGCTCGTTCAGTCTTGCAAATTCTATTCAAACCATAAAGTTTAGATCAATTCTACTCATTCAATAGAACAATATTGTCAACCTCGTAATGCTGTGTTAACTGCTGTTCGCAATAGTTCTTTGTACAAATTCTCCCACCTCTTTCTCGTTTTCAATTTGACCTTTTCTCGTTTTTTTCCTAGTGATCAATTATTTTTGTAATTGATATTAAGTAATTCATCACAGTAATTATTTACTTTAAGAGAATTTGTTTTCATAAATGAACTGCCCATTTTGTATTGCAGTATTTCCAAGATCTTTTTGGCATATTATTCATGAATTATACATACTATTTTGTTTAAAAAGTGATGCAGTTGTATTTCAGTTGAACGAGATTAAAGAGGATTTGATAAATAAATCAATTCATATTCATATTTCTTTTATTGAAATTTTTTCTGATGGAAAGAACTTTAATATCGCTAATCTTTTGAATGAAAATAATTTCAGTATGTTTATTTCTTTATTCATCCCCAGAATCATAATACCGATGCCGTTAATGGTGGTAATTCTTCAAGTGATACAAATTCCTGTAAAGATACTACTATTCAATCTAATATTTTGCTTCCACTAAAACATCCGTCACCTAGACAAGAAGTAAATGACTCATGTTCAAATAAAAAATTCAAAAGTCAACCTACAGTAGCATGCAGTTATTCTTTTAAACTTCCTCAAGAGTATAGTAAGAATAAATTGGAACATTCAACACAAAATCCAGTCACCAATCGAATTAACAATAAAATGAAATGTCAATACTTACAAGATAATCAAATGAATTATGACTTAGATGCCATACATAATCCTATATTGTTTTATTCTAATTCATCTAAAAATTATCAAAAATGCACAAACAGTAATAAATCGTTATGGATTAATCAACGTAAACGAATTTATGCATTAGGGCCTTTAAAATCTAAGAAAAAAAGTTCACAACGTATATCAAAATATATTAACCGATTTAATGCAAACAGTTTGATAGACTTCAAACCAAAATTATCCAAAAGTGGCTTTTTGAATAAAAATTTGTCGCATAAAATTATCAGTCCTTCTATTCACAAAAATTTTCAAATTAAAACAATACAAACAGAAAACTTTCCATTTCAAAAAGAGAATATTAATAATGATGACAATGATGAGGATTGTAACAACTTTCATGCTAAAATTTTCGAACTGATCAATACGATTTATGGTACCTATGCATTTAATCATTTTAAAACTTCTACTACAAATCAAGGTAATACTAGTGAAAGTAAGATCAGCGAAATTCTACGACAACCAATGACTTCATCGAATGAAATTAATCAAACTATTCATCATAACCATTTCCTTAAAGTGAACAATACTCCATCAAATTTATCATCATTATCAACATCATCTCAATTATCATCAGCAGTGCCAATAAAATCTTTAAATGATGATAGAAAATTATTCTCTAAACAAACTAATCTATTAATACAAGATAATGTTAGAAAACACTTTCAAAAATTAACAGATTCAATTTTCAATCACAGTTCGGCACATTCAAGTTCATACTCTATAATAAATAATGATAAACCTTTAGATTTAAGAAATCATTTACCAACTGAATTGAATAGTATATCATGTAAAAATAAAAATCATATTACTAATGATAAATTAATTGATGAATGTGAAAAACTTAGTAAAACTTATTTATCATCAATTGGAAATTTGAATTCAAATGAACTTTGGTCAACAATTTTGTTGTCATTATTCAATAAAAAATTGAGTCAATATTCACAAATTAATCCGAGTAAGTTTCATGGGAATTTTAACTAATTTATATATTTCAACAAGTATGCTTGATTAACTTATTTTTCAAAGTTGATTTTTATATAACTTATTAATTTTAGATCATGTCAATCATGAATTAGTGTTATCAAATAAACCGCCTTAAATTAAAAAGAACAAGAATGTTGATTTATTCAAAATCTGAAACCAATTAATCGAAATCACCCCTGATTTATTGATTAAAGTTAATCAAGATTCAGAATGCATTACTATCCTGTTATAGTTATAATCGAATTGTGTCTTTGATAGGCTGATCTGTTCACAACCTTAGTCACATTATTTTGATCAATTTTTCACGGAAACTTTTAACCAAGAAGAGGAATGTAATTGGAATAATCAAGCATCCATGTATATAGATATATATATATACTTATTTAATTAAGTTGTCTTTTTAAAAGAGTGATTATATTGATCTGCCTTTACTTGACATACATTTTTCAAACCAGAACATACGATCAACTTCACCCTAACTCCTCCAGATGAATCTAAGAGGTCAGATTTATTTTACAGAATGGAAGGATAATATATTGGGCCAGCTAGAAATCATACAAACGATTTATGCACGCAAGTAGCCAAGTAATAACTTACATTTCTCAAGGATGAGATTTACACAGTGCGTGACCTAATTTTCATTGAAACAGACATATACATATATGACTATTAGATTAGTCAATAAACTTCATTTATGAGTCTTTTCACTTGAATACCTGGTTTGACTGATGTACAGAAAGACGGTGTTTCAGTCTCAAACTTAAACATCAAACAACAGAACATCGATGAAACACTGATCAAAAAAATTACTATAATAATTATTGTTATTAAAGATGTATTGTCTTTTTGTTTGAATATCCTGTTAAATTGTTTGAAATTTAATTTGATTTCGGAAATTTTATACAAATCACAAATTCATATACTTACATACCTACGCCTGTTATCCCCAATGGAGCATGTGCCGCCCACCAGTTTTCTCCAACAAACTCTCTCCTGGGCTTCCCTCTCCAGTTCTGTCCAATGTTTGTTCATTCCTCTCATATCTTTCTCTATTTCTCGGCGTAGTGTGTTGCTTGGCCTTCCCCTTTTCCTTTTGCCTTGAGGGTTCCATGTGAGGGTTTGTCTCGTGACGCAGTTAGGTGCTTTTCGTAGTGTGTGTCCTGTCCACTTCCACCGATTCTTCCTGATTCCCTCCTCCACTGGAATCTGGTTTGTTCTCTCCCACAGTACGTTGTTGCTGATCGTGTCTGGCCAACGAATCCGAAGTATTTTGCGTGGACAACTGTGGATAAACACTTGTATCTTCTGGATGATGCCTTTCGTGGTTCTCCAAGTTTCCGCTCCATACAGTAAATTTGTCTTGACATTTGTATTGAATATCCTGATTTTGGTTTTGGTTGAAAGTTGTTTGGAATTCCAGATATTTTTCAACTGTAGAAATGCACCCCTTGCTTTGCCAATCCGCGCCCTCACATCTGCATCCGATCCACCTTCCTCGTCTATGATGCTGCCAAGATATGTAAAGGTGTTAACATCCTCCAAGGCATCTCCATCAAGAGTGATTTGGTTGGTGCATGTTGTGTCGCATCGGAGAATTTTGCTTTTCCCTTTATGTATGTTGAGACCTACTGCTGCAGAAGCTGCTGCTACATTGTTCGTCTTCTCTTGCATTTGTTGTTGAGTGTGCGATAGAAGAGCCAGATCATCTGCGAAGTCCAGATCATACAGCTGCGTCCTAACTGTCCAGTTGATACCGTGCTTCCCTCCAGATGTTGACGTCTTCATAATCCAGTCGATGACCAGGAGAAAGAGAAAGGGTGAGAGTAGGCACCCTTGCCTCACAACGGTCTTCACCTCGAAACAGTCTGTTAGCTGTCCTCCGTGAACGATTTTGCAGTTGAATCCATCATAGGAATTCCGTATGATGTTGACTATCTTCTCAGGCACACCGTAGTGTCGAAGAAGCCCCCACAGTGTTTTCCTATCCACGCTATCGAATGCTTTCTCGTAGTCGATGAAGTCGATGTAGAGTGGTGAGTTCCATTCAATTGATTGTTCCACAATGATCCGTAATGCAGCAATTTGGTCAGTACACGATCGATCCTTACGAAATCCGGCCTGTTGATCTCGAAGTTGGGCGTCTACGAAGTCCTTCATTCTGTTTAACAGTACTCTGTTGAAGACTTTGCCTGGTATTGAAAGAAGAGTGATGCCTCTGTAGTTCTCACACTAGCTGAGATCACCTTTCTTTGGTAATTTGATCAGGTATCCTTCTTTCCAGTCTGTTGGTACTTGTTCCTCATCCTAAATCTTCTTGAAGAGGATGTGAAAGATTTTCGCAGTTGCTGCCACATCTGCTTTCATTGCCTCTGCTGGAATGTTGTCTGGTCCTGCTGCTTTACCGCTCTTGATTTGTCTGATGACCATACTGATCTCTTCGAATGTTGATGGGCTAACATCGATTGGGAGGTCCGTGGATGCTGCTTCGATGTTGTGTGTGTTCAGTGGAGCTGTTTGATTCAATAGTTCCTTAAAGTGTTCTACCCACCTATTTCGCTGTTCTTCAGTGTTGCTGATTACTTTCCCTTCCTTGCTTTTCACTGGTCGTTCTGGTTTACGATAGATTCCGGCGAGCCTCTTTGTTGTTTCGTACAATCGTCTCAATTTCTGTCTCTTGCAGCCTTTTCCACCGTCATTGCTAGATCTTCCACATATTTGCGTTTGTCAGCTCTGATGCTCTTCTTCACTTCCCTGTTTGCTTCTGTGTATGCAGCTTGTGCGCTAACTTTCTCTGCTCTTGTTCGGCTGACATTAATTGCTGCCTTCTTGTTCCTCCTTTCTTCATTTATTGCAAGAGTATCAACAGAGATCCATTCCTTGTGATGGTACTTCTTGTGACCCAGAACTTGACATGTGACATGTTGGAGTGATTGCCTCCTTAATCCCTTTCTAATTGTTCTCCAATGTTGCGTCCTCTCCATTGAGTAGATCCTAAAAGGCCAGGAACCTATCGGTGAGGGCTATCCTGAATTCGTTGAGCTTTACAGTATCTCGAAGAAAGGCTGTATTAAACTTCTGTGATGTTGTCTGCCACGTTGTCCAGTGCTTCTTTAGTTTCAGTTTCATTTTTACGACCAGCAAGTGGTGATCTGATGCTATGTCAGTTCCTCTCTTGGTTCTCACATCCTCCATGGTCCTTCTGAACGTTTTGTTGATACAGATATGGTCCATTTGGTTTTGAGTAGTGTGGTCCGGTGAAATCCATGTGGCTTTCTGCATACGTTTGTACGGGAATATTGTGCCACTGATGACCAGTTTGTTGAAGGAACATAGGTTTGCAAATCTCTAACCGTTTTCGTTTCTTTCTCCCAGTCCATGTCGTCACATGATGTCTTCATATCCAGTGTTGTCCATGCCAACATAGGCATTCAGGTCTACCATCAGAATCGTCAAATCCTTCGGTGAACATTTCTCGATGATTGACTGCAGCCTCTCGTACAATTGATCTTTAACGTCGTCTCATTGTAGTCATTGGTAGGTGCATTACATTGGATGACGTTCATTGTAATGTCCTGTTTCTTTGTTTTGAAGGATGCTTTAATGATCCTGAGTCCATGAGATTCCCATCCTATCGGTGCCTTTTGTGCATGTGTGGACAGCATCAGTGCAACTCCTTGTGTATGTGAAGCATTTACCTCTTCATGACCAGAGTATAACAGCAGTTCCCCTGAAGCTAGTCTCAGTTGTCCTGCCTGTGTCCAATTTGTTTCACTTATGCTGAGCACCTCGAGGTTGTATCTTTTCATTTCTGCCGCAACTTGAAATAGTCTTCCAGTCTCCCACAATGTACGAAAGTTCCATGTACCTAAGTGAATGGTTGCTCTGGTTGTCAGAAGAGGCATCGGAATTGTGACTTCTGAGGGAACTCGGCTTCCATCACGCGACGTCATAATTCTTCTTCCAACTCCCAGGGCAGAGTGAAAATGGTTTGAATTATTTTTTCTGGTTAGCGTTTTTTTGGCAAGTTAGTTTTCGACGGAATGGGGTCGCCAACCCCATGTCCAACCCCTCCTCCGGGCTTGGGACCGTAGTAGCCCCGAAGGGACTACTGGCGGAGTTACAAATTCATATATTGTTTATAATTTGCTACAAAAAACTTGTTTAGATCCAGCATACTTTTTATTGATTTAGATTATTTTGTTAAAGGAAATGAATTACATTGATGATTCAATTTTCTTATATTAAGTCATATTTGTTGTAAACGAAGTTAATTGTCTTTATTGGATCTTAATACAAACACTACACCTACCTGATAAGAAATAATTTTGCATTAAAAAATTAGAACAATAATCTTGATCGAAACAACAGCACGGAAATGCTTTATTCTAACTTATTCAATTCCTAATTAAAATGAAATGTAAACTTTTCTTAAGTATTCTTCATTTAAATATTAATCATGTAGGGTAATTTATTTGCGATGGTATTCAGATCAGGAGCTGAACAAGTTCTTTCTGCCTTGAATCGATAAAAGATACAACAAACCAAGCTCATTACTCATTCTTGAAAGTTTTAGTGAGAGCAAAACGAAAATAATATTCATTTAGTTTTTGACGCCAACTTTTTTTTAAATGGTTATCTTAATATTTTCATCAACAGGAATTTTTATTTAATGATATATTGACAAGTCAAATAAACACTTATTCTCACGAAATGCCACGAATTAATTCAACGGCACTATTCAACAAGTAAAGTTTTCAGTTTAGAAAGCGCATTCTATTACTCAAGCTCTATGGTCACTATTGTTTTATTCTAATATTTAATAGCTATTTCATCAACTTATGTATAGATAACAAAGAAATCCTTTTCCTCAGTTCGATAAGTCTTATGTAACCATGAAATAATTTTATTTTTAAATTACTGTGATGAATTTTATTAGCTATGAATAGGTAAAAAAACAAGATATGTAATTAATGATATTATTGCACCATTTCCTAGTCAGTTATTAGTTTAATGCATCCATTAAATGGTGTACAAATGAAATTATCATATTGATAGGAAATAATTATAAAACATTCTTATTAACAACTAAATTTTATTATAAGTGAATCGATCTAC